TGAATACTGACGCAATATAATCCTGTCACTTCACAACAGAATAGCCCTCTGTGAAGGATGACTGCTTTACAATACGAGGAATTGTGACATGTAATTATGTATTCAGTAATGTAATGCAGGGGTGTTGAGTTATTGGCAGCTGTTTGTGTTTCTTTCCAGAGAAAGAAACCTTTTCTTCCTTTTGTAACTGTTTTCTCAGAGAGAAAACTCTGACAAGTATTGTGGTCCTCAATGAAACATTTAAAGTTTCAGATATCCAAAACGACTGTACAAGACTAAAAATTGTAGAATTCGAAGTTCAAAGCTTTCCAGCTCTCGTTTAGAGGGCAGAGTCCTTGCTGTAGATTAGCCAATGTTCCAATGTTTTTGTGGCCTTGAAGATCTCTACCACTTATTTTTAGCCAGATTTTAAAAACAGTTTGTCCAAAGGGGATTCACGTTATATTAGGACCTGTACAAAAGGTTTTACAAACTAAGAAGTTGGAAATGTCATGTCCTTCACGTACAGTAGTCACACTTGAGAAACTGTATGTAAGAACCAAAAAATATATAAACTTGCTTAAGCATGTATCCAATGTGTTTGACCTACGTGTCACTGTGATGCATTATGCTTTAAAAATGTTTTGTCTTTACACTACCTTACTGAGAACATGAAAACATGTATGACTATCTTTCTGACTGTGACATAACAGCTCTTATTTTGGTGTTTCATTTTTTACCCTTAACACAGATATCTAGAGAAAGAAGAAAGGTATTACTTTACTAATTTAGAATAACACAATAAAATGTTTACCATTTATTAAAAATGGAGACTGAAAGCAGTGTTTCAGTGTTCTGTCGGTCCAGTGTTTACATGGGTATGGTATGCTGTGCATAGTATATCTTAACTGTAATGCCCAATAAAGCAAAATATTGAAGGAAACTGGAATAGTTTTGTCCTTGTTTTCCCTTTGAGTTAAATACCATCTTAAAAAATTAATTAGACATTCATCTACGAGGAAATTTGGATCAATAATAATTTAAATTTTGTATTGAAACATTTGAAATTTGTTATTGCCTCATACATTTCTGCCATATGAATTTCTACCATTTTGGAGAAGATTGTTTAATCGTAATGCAACATAATGCTACTTTAAAGAAAATACATTTTGTCTGAGGGGGGAGAAAGAAAATACTGTTTTGTGCAGTGTGAACTGTGTACATTCACCACAGTCTGACTGTTTCCTGTGTAGTAACTGTATAACTAGGCACCCTTTTAGTGTTCTTTATACTTTTTTTCCTATTTTTGTTAAATGTAAGTATGTGTCAATCTAATCTGTCCATCACAGTTTCTCACAACTGTGGTATTCCTTCCCACATCAGGTAGCCTAATAACATTAAAACAGCCACATACATTGTGTTACCTTGTGACTTCACATTGCCTGTTAGGAGGAAAGATCAGATTAGCCATAAAACAGCTCTTTGCTTTTCTGGAACTTATCAGTGTTAACAGTGTTTAAGACCGTAAAGAACTATTTTGTAATTATTTTCTTCATAACTGAACTATTTATTTTTTCCTGGATAAATCAACCACGTGATTGTCTTTTTACTTAAATTACATCAGTTTTCACATTGTGTCATTTAGGCAATGTAGGTTATCGGAACAATGTTATCCCTGACCAGTATTTAAGTGACCTTTGTGCACTCAGGAATATAGATTTTTTTTTTACTCTGGTACTAAGAAAGTTCAAGAATTTCGGAGTGGATTGTTGCTCAACCCTAGCATGTCAAACCCACCTTATAGCTTCTATATACCTTATAGCTTGGCAAATACAATTGCAATTCAGTCTTCAAAATGTGTTTGCAGGACTTTGCCATTCAAGAACAACATATCAGGTAGTTAGTGTTCTATGAAGAAAGTACACAAGAAGGAACAATTCAATTTATATTGTTGGACTGTACATTGTATTACCTACTGAAATATTGGCTATTCTGGTGAATGATCTTCTCTTCTGCATATTTTAAGCTGAATATGCAGTTTCCCATGGGAAAAGTTTCAGTTTGTCATTGGGTCCTGAAAACCAAACTGTAGGACCTAAAGGTGAATAGGTGGTTCTTTCCAAATTTGTGGTTGCTCTTTCCAGCAAATGGAGGTTGGCACTGTGCAAAGGTCTCTCATGCTCAAGAAATGCTGCAGTCTTTTGCTGTATGTATTCTGAATTTTATAAATATTCAAATTAAATTCAATGGCATACTAATGCTGGTTATTACACTGCATCTAAAGCTATACATCTTTTTATATGATTAGGTTGTGTTTACAGTTGTCGTTGCTTTAATGAATTCTGACTAGCAGTTTAGTGACAGTTTTTTTCTGTGCATGGGTAATTGTTGGTAAAGATCCAAATTCAGAACTATGCCGTTAATTGAAAAAAAAAATGCCATTTACCAAATTGGACTTATTCTGCTTGAATACTGACGCAATATAATCCTGTCACTTCACATTTATTTTGCTATACTGCTTCTTTTGGGTTTCATTGAAACCATAGCTGGCCACAAGTTGTGTTAATCATAAACCACACATTGCTGATCCAGCAGACACAGCTCGATCTGCTCAAAGAGAAGTGCTTACTGAAAACATCACAGAACGTTTAGAAAGGAATAGAGATCCTTTTCTAAGAGACGTTCTAATGAAAGAAGCAACACGCGGTTATTTCTCAAAACCAATTATTTCTCAAAAACAAATGTTTACAGCTTCACAGTAATTGGGCTTTGATATTTCATGTTTCTGATTGGGCAAGCAATTCTTTTACCCCCACAAAATACATTTCCAATCTTTCCTCTCACAATTGCCTCTCTCACTTCTTTTGGAACAGTTCAAATCAAGGACTGTACTACTTTTGGCTGAGTGGGTGGGAGGTGGGATGTTTTATGATCATCTCAAAGGCTGAAGGCTGACATGTTTGAAACTACGTAAGGAGCTGGATGAGCTCTGCTTTCTTACTCCTACGACAAGTTAATATGTTGAAGTCTGATGTTAAGGTCACTCCATTTGTTTTTCTGTCTGAAAAAGAGCTGAGGCCTTAACAATGCAAAACAGCCACTCAATCGAAAAGGAATGCTAATAATATTTTGACTTTTAAACTTTGAAAGTTAATATGCCAGTGGTTCATATTTAATTGAATTCATGCTGGGTCATCATTTTGGTTAAACAACATGTAAATCTGACTAGCTTGGTCAGGCTTTTATAAACCAGTGGATGTTCATGCTATGTGATGAAAACTACAGAGTGTTGTTTT